TGGGATTTTTAATGTTTGACTTGAGACAAACACTCATTGCAGTTTCCCTGATGTGCATATTCGGCTGTATGACAGAATATCGCGAATGACTGAACACTTTTCTCAAACCAGCTACCTTTAATTCATCATCGTTTAAACGTTTCTGTAAACTTGAGCAACCTTTTGCGACCTTTAATTTTGGCAAAGTACGTTTGTGTAAAATATATATGCAAATTATGCATTTTGTTAGCAGAATTGTGCATTCTGAGCTCGGAATGATTTTAAGTGGTGGAGGGAGGGAAGGGAGTCGATCCTAAGCTGAGAAGCAAAGGCATAGTAAGAATATGGATGCACATCTGATGCTGTGACTGAGTTGAGGTCCTGTAGATATTTGGCGGATTTGTTTAAAAGCGCTTTCAAGGCACTTGTCCATTTCAGATTCTATGAAAGTCACAATGACGTATGGGCGAATGGATGACACCAGATTATGAGACCGCACGCACACACACACAATCGCATGCATTTCTTTCAGGGGCGAGGCCAGGTATTTAAAGATGATTTATGAAGGGGAATTCATGGCAATGGCATTACTGGAATGCTCTAATCTATTTTCACATCACGGTGGTGAGATGTTACCTACCTCGTCTTGTCGTGGATTCGATCCTGACCCTGACGTCTGCTATGTTTGGAGTAGTCCCGTTGATTTTTATCCGGGTCCTCCAGTTTCTTCCCTCCACATTTACAAACATGCTCTTTGATTATTTGGCTGCTATACATTTCCACGTGATAAACCACTTCGTTGAGCTATCATCTGTTAACGAGCTAAAAACTCAGTTGTGCTTTCCTGGTAATATAACAATAGTGTTTGGTTCATAAATACGTAGTCTTTAGTTGTGGTTCAAATCCTTTGATGAGGATGGATTCCAACCAGAATCCAATATTACACACATACTCATTAGTTCTTTCGGTAAAGTCACGTAGGTAGAAAAAATATATCACGACGTTTCGATTGCAACACAAGCAATCGTCTTCAGGTGAAAAAATACAGCGGTAGAACTGCTAAACCAGGAAAAATATAGTGGGAGAGCGACTGCAACAAGAGGTTATGTAGGTTTGAGGTGGGTGCAACCCAAGGGAAAGGAGGTGGGGCTAGAGATGGAAAGGAGTCCCGCCGCCGCACGCACAGCAGCTGTGTTAATGGGAGAGATAAGCATGTCAATGTGTAACGGGGAGAGCGCCATCTAGGGTGCGACAAGGGGTATCTGAATGTCCACCGCTGGGTAACCGGTATCCAATCCATTGCGGGGATTTCATCTAGGCCAAAGCTAACGGGCAGAGTTAGAGTGAATGTACGAGAACCATCTAGATTTTAGAGGGTTCCACGAGGGGGCGTGGCTGGAGTCGGAGCTGTGCTCCGCCGAGATGAATATAAGTGGAGGCAGGAGAGGACTCGTCATCGGTGTGGGAAGCCTCGGGTCTGGACTGCATCACCGCTCAACCTCTCCTTGCCAACGACCACGTGGCGAATCCCCAGCGAGCAGCCACTCCTCCCAGCACGCTGCCAGCCAGCGGCGGATCGGATAGAGAGTGAGGCGTGCCCCGACAGTGGGCAGGAAAACGGCTCATCAACGGCAGAGAGAGAGACGCGAGTCAACAGTCGTCGTGGAAGTCGTTTATTACGTTGAAGTCAGAAGTGGTCCTTCTAGAGATCTATCTACGTGACTTTACCAAAAGAACCAGAAAATATAGATTCCTGCAGTCACGAAAGCTTTAAATCAAGGTTATAAATCCCAATGGATATACGTGTAAAGATTAACGCTTTTTTTACTTTCAAAGTCAGTAGTTTGATGTTTATACACATTGCAAAAGGGTTTTACAAGAAAATGTAAAGATGAAAATTAAATCAAATGTACAAATGCAGGTGATCACATATGCTAACAAAACATTTTAAAATTAGCAACATCTGCCTACTTATGTACAAGAGTGCGTGATACAATGCACCTGTCAGGCAAAGACTACGTTCTGAGAGACATTTGATGGAAGGCACTGGCATATTTAAGATTCTATGAAAGTCACAATGCAAGCAAACATTAAAAAAAAATCTGGATTGCTTCACAGCCGTCAGGGTAGAACATGTTGACGCGTGATTACAAGGAGGAATGTATTGTAAAGGCAAGACTGGAGGGTGGAATCTTTTTACGCAATCTTAACAATACAGCTTTCAATACAATGGTATTGTAGATTATAAGCATGGCAAATGTCATGAACATTTGAACGTGATTCTGGACAAACTACGAGTTCTGAGACAGCACACGCACATCCATCCATTCGTTAGTACTTTATCAGGCGTTCAGGTATATATGAACATAAATACCCTCAATTGCCTACATATACAGATACTGATTGATAGGCTGTGGTACAGACTTGTTTTATTTATGTAGAAATAATTTTTCACCGTATGGAGCCAACCATGATAATCAGGGGTGGAAGCAAGGATGCTGCTGTTTAGGAGATAATTGTATTCTTTAATCAGTCATGAAGGAATAGGGCAGTCCTCGGTTTACGAAGCTCATTTATTCCCGAGACCCGTCCATAACTTGAACGGTTCGTGAGTCGGAACACAATAATCCACTGTATTAGAATATGTTTTCCCCTTTTTTCCTGCAACAAAACGGGTGTTAAGATGTTAAAACTCCAAACTGAAACCTTTTACAAGGAATCATGTCTGCATTAACCACAATACTTGTGTAATAAAAGACTCCATCAGGCACTGCTGGTCTCCTTTGGTCTTTTATTTAGGTTCTCTCTCCGCGCCCCGCTGGTCTCCTCCGCAGACCAGCGTTGTCTCGCGCGCGCCCCGCTCGCACTCCCTCGTCAGCTCCTCCACTCTTCCTCACATCCCGCTGGTCCTGATAAGGGACCAGCGTCTCCTCTCGCGTGCCGTGCACGCTCCTCCGTTAGCTCCTCCACTCCCGCACTCCGCACACCACTGGCCGACGGCGTGCTGAGGTCCTTCAGCCATGTGGCCGATGGCGCGGATCTCCTCTCGACACCCAACGTGTGTCAGCCTCTTAACTTCCTCAACTGACCCCGATCTTCTTGGTTCTTTCAGTAAAGTCACGTAGAATGGAAATAATAAAATAATAAAAATAAAACATAATAAAATAATTCACACTAAGATGAATCCCTGCAGTCACGAAAGCTTTAAATCAAAATTTGACCCCGATCTCTTCTGGGCTCCCACTTATATCCTCTCCCCCCACGTGACCCTGACTCCTCCCCTTCCGGATCGTCAGATCCGGCCTTCCCATACTGCCCTACTGGCTTCGCCCCCATTCACCTCGCCTCCCATTGGAGCCGAGCTGAACGGTGGCCCCTCCCACACGCCCCGCAGACCAGGCTCCGCCGCCCAATACCCCGGGCCGTGTGATTGGGCCAGAGCCCAGCAACAACCCCATTTACGCTCGCATTACACTTGTGGTCAGAATGCAAACAAAAAACCTACTCTGATAATATATGTGCATTGTCTTGGAAACTGATTGGTCCACACAGAGACAGCTTTCTTTCGAGTCAAGTCTCAAAACGGTGTTAGATAATACATATGCTATCAGAGTATTTTTTTGTTCGCTTTCTGACCACAAGTATTGTGATTTATGAACACTTGATTCCTTGTAAAAGGTTTCAGTTTGGTGTTTTAACATCTTAACACCTGTTTTGTTGCCAGAAAAAAGGGGAAAACGTATTCTCCTATTTTGGTACTAGCAAAGGAGGTCCCATGAAATCCACTGTTTTTAAATGCCCATATGGTCAGTTTTAAGAAATGTGCTAAGGTTCAACAGAAAAAGAAGCAGTCAAACTAACAATTAGAAGTATTGTACTTTTCCATGTAACAATATAAAATACTGTATAATAAATAAAATAAAATATAAATTAAAGTAACATTAATAGAAAAAAACACTTTTTTTTCATGAACCTTGGGTCCTGATGCTAGTCAGAAGGGGGGCAACGAGTTACCACAATTGCAGACACCCACACAGACAGACAGAGAGACACAGACAGAGACACACACACCACGACGACAATGATCCCCCGTGTAGCCTTAATAGGCTATAGGGGCAAGTGCTGTTAGTGAGCAGCGCCTATGAAGGCCGGCACGGCACACGTGGGGGTGATTGGCCAGCGCCACGCCCGGCTGCCTTTGTATCCCCAGTGGCGATGTTTACACACCAGGGCTTCCGGCACTGATGTTAGCCGTGAGCAAGAATCGAATTCGGGTCGCCACTTTTGTAGCACAGTGCGCTCACCACTACACTACCGCTCCCCACACACCAATACCAATATCCGCCATTCGCCACAAAGTGACGGCGACGTCACCACGGCGCCTGTGCCAGGCTAGGTGCACTTTGAGGCACTAAATGTGGGGTTGGCTGTCTTGCTTTCTTCTGAAACAGTGGGATGCTTTCCAAGCAAGAAAAGCTCACGAAAATATATATGTGAGACAAAAAAAAATCTGAAATGCTGGATATGATTAGCACATCGAGACCAGTCTGTAGTTTGACTGCTTACAAATGCCGCTTGGTGATTGATGTTCGCATGGAAAAATCAACGGTCGATGGACTAAACTAATTTTATATTTATATGTGAATATAGAATGGAGTTCTGATTATTTGTCCTTTCGCCCATGATGTTGCACATGAATGCATAACAAGTTTGCGTGTGATTTAAGTTTTAGTGAATTGAGAGCCTAAGCATAATTTGGAAATTATATCTCATTGTTCGACTGCTCGAAAGACTCCTTATTCATACGCTATCCTCACTGCCTTTGTCATATGCAATATTCAACAACTCGAAGGGCATACGCTCACAATCTTTATTTCACGTCCACACACGCGTTGTGTCTCTCACACACAGGCACACACGCACATTCGTTATTATCAAGCACTGGGTGGAGTCTGGGAAGCTCCACCTTTTTGTGAATCTGAATATAAAGCCTGGATGAATCCAGAGAGCAGAAGAGACGTAGCGAATGACTTGCGCCCTACGGCTTTCCATCACCTGAACATCGTGAGTATTATAAGAGATGCAAGTCAGCTGCACATTGGCCAGTAATAGGCTAAATCTATTGAAATCAGTTACAGGTAAATTATGTACGGTATATATGTTAGAACGTACATTGTATAGACTATGTGTGGTTAATATAGGCTGGCTATTGTAAATCAGATATGTCAACAGGCTATGTTTAAAAAATAATACCATATTAAACTACATGTTAATGTCTAATGGGATAGCGAAGTTAAATATGTTGAACACATGGCCATGTAATATCGGACTGCATGCAAACACACCAAAATAGTGAAAAATTATAAGTTATTACAATGTAGGCAACAACAAAAAGAATTATGTTTTGAAAATATGTCAGACATTAATCTTGCCTGAACACTTGCACTTACGCTTACCTTGATGTTGGTTTATAATACTATCCATATCCCAAACACAAAATTAGCGACTCCCTTAATAGTCTTGATTTATCAAACGCTTTATCTACTGATATGCCAATCATAGTGCATACTACCTTCTTTGACAGTGTTCGGACATGTGGTCATTAACGAAACATATAGAACAAAAACTCAGGGTATAAGAATAGGTTTCGATTTAAAGCTTTCGTGACTGCAGGGATTCATCTTCTTGGTTCTTTCGGTAAAGTCACGTAGAAGGGACATAATAAAATAATTAAAATAAAACATTATAAAATAAAATTATCAAGACGTTTCGGCCACAACACAAACAGCCGTCCGCAGGTGAAGAACAAAGCTGTCTGAAAAACAGCGTCGTAATGAACAACGCTAAGCTTGGCAGCTTATACTTAAGCTTTGTCAAGGCACTCTGCCCCTCCCACCCAGCTTAAAATATACGCTGCCAAGCTTAGCAGTGTTCATAGGAGCGCTATCTTTCAGACAGCTCTGTTCTTCACCTGCGGACGGCTGCTTGTGTTGTGGCCGATACGTCGTGAGAATTTTATTTTATTATGTTTTACTTTTATTATTTCCCTTTTATGTGACTTTACCGAAAGAACAAAGAAGATATAAGAAAAGGTTTTACCCTTTCTGGCAATGAAAGAGGTGTTAAGATGTTAAAACACCAAACTGCAACCTTTGCAAGGGTTCATGTCTGCATTAACCACGTACACTTGTGGTGAACAAATTATGCTTAAGTTTAAACACAGGACACAATCTAAACACCAAAGTATGCAAGTGAGTTGTTTATGTGTACGTAAATAAATGCACATACAAGTGATGTGGTGTAGACTAAGGTTGCCGCTAGTCAGTACAGGTTTTTCAACCTTTATACGGGTTCGGTTTGTGTAATATCATGGATATTGGACGAATGTATTTCTACTCAAAATTCGCTATATGCAATTTAAATTCACTCATATATGGCTTCGTGATCGGACGTGGGAGACCATTATGTGTGTACGCTATGAACTGTTTGGCAGTTAAGCTGCCCTGTGTGGTTTCGGTTTGTGTGCCCTTTTTCTTGGAACACATCTATAACCACAAAGCGAGGGAAACCTGTATGTGTTGCACTTCAGGCTGCGCCCTTTACAATGAATGTGCAGTATTTAACAGAACATTCCATCGCACGACAGTGGCATTAAAGAGCTGTATAAGACGACCTCACCATTAGGGTGCTCTCATTAACAATTTTCTTCTACCACATAACTTATTGCAACACTACAGGCGCAGTCCTTGGCTCTGCAAGCGGCCCAAAAACAAACAAAAAAACGTAATATAATCCTTCTCGTGACACTTAGTGTGCCTCGGTAGGAACTAAACTCTGTTGCCAGTCACGAGGGCAAGTCCCGGAGTCTGCCCGTGCCGAACTAACAAATATGATTGTGTGCTGTTTGTATATAATTTCTAGCTCATGTGATTAATTACCTAGTATACATTACGGCCCGACATTCTCCTCCCACCTTTGCACACGTTTTGCATCCATCGCGTCAGCCTGAGGTCATTCCTGGTTCTGGCTCCGCAGACATCCTGGCACTTGATGTCATAACCCCTATCAAACTCCTCCCTTTGGAGGTCATCCCACGATATGTGTGAACACAGACACACTTAATTGCCCCTAGGTGTTGTGTGAGTCTGTAGCCATTTTTATTGTGAAACGACTTTTCTCCCTCGTTAGGTCGACTCATCCTTAAAATTAATTCCTGCTGCAGCATGCAATGACAGTCACTGGGAAAACAAAGGCGGTTGGCAGGCTCTGGTTATACCCCTGGAATACATGCATTTTTTGTCGTGGAGAATATACGTTATTCGTATTACGTATATTTTCTGAATGATCCTTTGGTTCAAGACATCAATACATCACTTCCATACGTCATTATCAAGTTTATATGCTTAACCCAGATCTCATGGCACTTATGTATTGATAAGTGGATGTTAAAAGAACATGTAACTAGTCGTATTCACTACCCCCTGACTATGTGCTGTATTGTCACTTACAGTGAGGGAAAAAAGTATTTGATCCCCTGCTGATTTTGTACGTTTGCCCACTGACAAAGAAATGATCAGTCTATAATTTTAATGGTAGGTTTATTTGAACAGTGAGAGACAGAATAACAACAACAACTATTCAGAAAAACGCATGTCAAAAATGTTATACAAAGATTTGCATTTTAATGAGGGAAATAGGTATTTGACCCCCTCTCAATCAGAAAGATTTCTGGCTCCCAGGTGTCTTTTATACAGGTAACGAGGTGAGATTAGGAGCACACTCTTAAAGGCAGTACTCCTAATCGCAGCGTGTTACCTGTATAAAAGACACCTGTTCACAGAAGCAATCAATCAATCAGATTCCAAACTCTCCACCATGGCCAAGACCAAAGAGCTCTCCAAGGATGTCAGGGACAAGATTGTAGACCTACACAAGGCTTGAATGGGCTACAAGACCATCACCAAGCAGCTTGGTAAGAAGGTGACAACAGTTGGTGTGATTATTCGCAAATGGAAGAAACACAAAAGAACTGTCAATCTCCCTCGGCCTGGAACTCCATGCAAGATCTCACCACGTGGAGTTGCACTGATCATGAGAACGGTGAAGAATCAGCCCAGAACTACACGGGAGGATCTTGTCAATGATCTCAAGGCAGCTGGGACCATAGTCACCAAGAAAACAGTTGGTAACACACTACGCCGTGAAGGACTGAAATCCTGCAGTGCCCGCAAGGTCCTCCTGCTCAAGAAAGCACATATACATGCCCGTCTGAAGTTTTCCAATGAACATCTGAATGATTCAGAGTACAACTGGGTGAAAGTGTTGTGGTCAGATGAGACCAAAATGGAGCTATTTTGGCATCAACTCAACTCGCCGTGTTTGGAGGGGGAGGAATGCTGCCTATGGCCCCAAGAACACCATCCCCACCATCAAACATGGAGGTGGAAACATTATGCTTTGGGGGTGTTTTTCTGATAAAGGGACAGGACAACTTCACCGCATCAAAGGGACGATGGACGGGGCCATGTACCGTCAAATCTTGGGTGAGAACCTCCTTCCCTCAGCCAGGGCATTGAAAATGGGTCGTGGATGGGTATTCCAGCATGAAAATGACCCAAAACACACGGCCAAGGCAACAAAGGAGTGGCTCAAGAAGAAGCACATTAAGGTCCTGGAGTGGCCTAGCCAGTCTCCAGACCTTAATCCCATAGAAAATCTGTGGATGGAGCTGAAGGTTCGAGTTACCAAACGTCAGCCTCGAAACCTTAATGCCTTGGGGAAGATCTGCAAAGAGGAGTGGGACAAAATCCCTCCTGAGATGTGTGCAAACCTGGTGGACAACTACAAGAAACGTCTGACCTCTGTGATTGCCAACAAGGGTTTTGCCACTAAGTACTAAGTCATGTTTTGCAGAGGGATCAAATACTTATTTCCCTCATTAAAATGCAAATCAATGTATAACATTTTGACATGCGTTTTTCTGGATTTTTTTGTTATTCTGTCTCTCACTGTTCAAATAAACCTACCATTAAAATTATAGACTGGTAATTTCTTTGTCAGTGGGCAAACGTACAAAATCATCAGGGGATCAAATACTTTTTTCCCTCACTGTAACAATATATCATATTACCAAAGGTAACTTTTTAATACCATGATGTTTAAGAATGTTCATATGCATGGTTGGCATTTGAACGCTTCAACTTTCCAGGCACCAGGGTTTGTTAATTCACAGAGTGAAAAGGCAAGGGGCATACTTGTCTCTCTGCCCTGGATTTGCCCTTGGGTGAGCAGCGAGTTTATGGTGTTTTGCCATGGGTCCACCCTTGCGTATATTCTCTCTCATGAAATTTCCTGGGTCACTCCCTGCCCATGCAAGAGTGATTCCTTTATGGCCTGTCATGAACTACTTCCTCCTTCGCTACACGAGTTCGGTTAATTCCCGGAAAGCAAAATGTACTGCGTCTTCTAGGCCCTCCATCGATGTCTAATTTATTATGATTACCCACTTCTCATTCTAATGCTGTTGTGGCTTCGCCATCTGGTTTTCCCGACTTCTGGCATGCAGTGAACGCATATTTGTCTGTCAGGAACTGCGACATTCAAAATAGACAAAACATTAAAAACAATTATAACAGGCATACAGTCCATCTAGGGCTGAACGTTTTGGGGAAAATATCTAATTGCGATTTTTCTGACATGTTGCGATTGCGATTTGATTTGCGATTAATTTGTTTAAGTCAAGCTTCAGTTCAATGTTCACTGTGTTAATAAATTTGTAAACATGTGATGGAGCATTACCACATGATACCATCTACTTTTAACTGCTCTAATGCAAGGATGAGAACTTAAAATATATGAATTGCTTTTAACATTTATTTATTAAAATGTTTTTATTCAAATAGAACAAGCAAACATAGAACAATTGCTAAGTTAAATAAATAAAGTTATTATAATAAAAAAATCAAACAATTTCAATCAGAAAGTAAAAGGATTTTTCAAATCGCCAAAAATTGCGGCCTTTGAGATTTGCTAATCGCATTGTTTCAAATTGCGATTTCGATTTGAAATCGATTCATCGTTCAGCTCTAAGTCGACCCTTTCACGTCGCAGGGGTTAGGGGCGCAGCCCCCCCGCGATCTGGAAAAAAACGCGTTAAATGTTTTGGTCCCCTTGGCGAACGACGCGAGCACCTCCAGCCGGGGGGTTCGGGGGAGGGGCTGTGAGATATCACGCGAGAGGCTGCCGTAAACGAGCTTGGCATCCTCCAAACCAACGCGCAAACTAACTTTTCACAAAATTTTACTTAAACAAAAATTGTGTATATTTATGGTTTTAAACAATACATATGTAATATCTCAATAATGGCGGGAGACGAGTTGACGTGGCAGCACTTATTTATTAACACTGGTGCAACAGTAACAGGCACAGCCGAGATAACGCCTACGCTACGCGTGCCTAACTCGGCCACGCACTCAGGCTCTCCGGCTACGCTCTCCCCACGGAGAGCTATCGGACCCGCCTTGCCAGGGCACAGGTCTCGACCACTGGGTTACACAGCCCGGCCCTTACAAGGACGTCGGGCCGTGAATCCCAAGGCCTCGCCTCTGAGCCTCACAGAGTCCCGGCCCTTACAAGGGCAGCGGGGCTAGGGGTCTCAGGGCCTTATCTCTTCCTCCGTCTTCTGTCTTCACTGGTTAACGACTCCCCGAGTGCTGCCGCACATCGCCTTACATAGCTCTCCGCTCCAGGGGGCGGGGCCTATGCGGACCGCGATGTGGACACCCGCCTGCGGACCGTGATGTAGCCACCCACCACGCGCTGTCTCACGATCCTCGCCGCCAGCACGTACCACCACTACACATACAATGATAGTATGTGATGCATTTGTGCGTTACTAAACTCTTTGTGTGTCATTTGCTGGACTTCGCATGTCGTCTGCGGTTTTCGCAAAACACCCAAAAACTCCCCAAAATAATTTCCATTTTATTTCTTATGCCGACCCCGCGATATATCGAAACCGCGATGGGGAAAGTCGCGATGCATAAAGGTCGACTGTATATACAATAAGGAGCCAGGGTGAGCTGGCTTTGTTGCTCATATAGACACGCAGTGAACTATTGATCACCATCGTCCATATCACCAGGATTGTTTTCAGGCAAGGAATGGTCCTTGTGAGCTTCCACATTAAGTCCTTAATCCAGGCTGTGTTATAGGCCGATGAGAAGTCCACACATCCCGCTTGTTCTCCAGGGATCACTGACTCGACGAGGGAGCTGATCCTCTGGAGGATGATGTTCAGATTAACTTATAATTAGATGCTGTATCAATGTGTATGTTGTTGTAATAACCTTTAAATGAAAGTCTATGTGAGTCAGTAAACTCATGCATAGTTCACAGTTATCTGAAACTGTGGTTGCTTTGTAGTGGACTTTGAAAATAAGTAATCACGTGTTTGGTTTGTTTATATTTTCAAGCTGGACACAATGCAACTCCACCGCACCCTCGCACTTGTCTGTCTATAAAGAGGGTCAGGAAGATAGTTCCAGCCTCCTTTGTGCTCTGAGCAAGCGAAAGGTGAGTCCATGAGATGGTCAACTCTGGCACTTGCATTGTGAAGATTTAGGTTGCTTTTGGCATCACGACTGGAATGTCTCTGTCATGTAAATGGCATGTTTAATTATGCAATTGTAGTAAACAAATAATTGAAATCATATTCTTCGGGTCTTTCTGTAACGTCATGTAGAATAGTCCAAAGACAATTACAAAGAATAAAAAAAAAACTACGACATTTTGATCGCAACACACGCGGTCGTCACCAGGAAAAGGGGGTTAGCTTCTAAAGACAATTGTTTATAAAGGTTTGAAATGGGCATAGCCCAAATGTCAGCAGCCAATGTTAATGTAAGTGGTGGGCAGTGACTGCGGCGTTGGCGGGTTTTCCACCAATCATTGGTGCTGGCCATTATATTCATGAATTGATATTTGTTTTCGTTGTAAAGCATTTTATGCATATAATAATTGCTATTCACAGCTTCAAAGTGGATTACGCATTCGAAAAAAAACACTTAATACAGAATTAAAGAGATTGCAGTCAAAACATATAACTGTTCATATGATACTGTAGTTTTGATGAGCTTAAATGCAGACGTACACATTTTTTCATTCAAAGAAGAGTATACCATTCTATGCCAGCACGCGGGTAGCAAGTTACAGAAAAGTTGGTTACACTTTTGGTGCTGTCATTAACCAACCTAAACATCAGCTCACCACCTGTATGAGGCAAGGACTAAAGGCCCGTGCTCTTAAGTCCAGTACCACAAGTAACGGCACATGCATAATAACCGTCATGGTTGGCCATGTGATGGTAATCAATGTATACAAGCCCCCGAAAAAAAAAATGGCCATCACCACTTCAGCAGCCACTACAATTAATAATGTACTGTATAATAGATTATCACCTAGGGATAATGTAATGTACAATATCACATAGGGATGATGTAATGTACAATATCACATTGGGATAATGTAATGTGATGTCCAACACATTTTCCCTATGCGATCGATTGACCCCAGTGTGATTGTAGCTTTGAGAAGTGCCTAAGACCACCCTACTCTCGCACAGGGGCACACAGTGTGTGCACACAGTGTGTCCGTGTATGGCCTTAGCTCACTCTGGCACAAAGAGCATTGGCTTTCAGATCAAGATGTCATCACGGTCAAAGCTCTTGATACCACCACACCTTAGCACCACCACTTTTAACCTCTACCAGATCCTGCAATTGCACAGTAGACACACGATCTCTAAGACCAGACCTAATAGTATTCCCCCACCTGTCAACTCCAAGCGCCGCACCAGTTTTTTCTATACATGACGTTGGCCCCACCCCAGTACACCCCTTACTATCACCTCTAGGGGCCGGTGTAGCATTGGATAAAGACCGACTTTTATCAACATTTGCATTGGGAAATGACATGCAGCCAAAAACGTTCTCAATTGGAAAGTAGTTTTTTGAGGAAAAGAGTTTCGGGCCAAGTGGCATGAGAACCACGTGTGGAGCTTGAGCACAGGAGCTGGGCAGGATTGATCCATTAGCTATGGTGCCATGGTTTAAGTGCTGCTTGTTATAGCACGGTAAGTTAAAACACTTTCCATTAGTCTCCTAAATAAATTGGGCCCGTTGCATGAATGAATTTCGTACTGTTATATTCCAAATTTCAACATGCAACGGCTTAATCAATTGTTTATATTTAATTTGTATTATTAAAAGCGTAGATAAGCATGGTAGGTATAAGGGAATACTTTATTTAATATTCATGTTCTTCATTTAATATTTCTCACAGATGTTTGACATTAAAATAAGTGATGAACTTTGGTTATTCGTCTAAATATTTGTTATGCTATGATTAAACACAACATTCAATATTCAACTGAATTATACATTGATTTGTATTATTGTTAAATGTTGTATTACTAATTAAGGACGGTGTCTATGTGTGTATTCAAGGCTATGTCTGAAGAGGAGGAACACGACATAAAAGCTGTGGATGAGCTTGCCAAAGTACTTAGAGACTTAGGTTTTAATACAACTTTTTGGATTCCAAAACTACGAAATATTTTGGATATCACCAATGTAAAAGCATTGCAATATTTTGGCCCTGAGGAATTTGAAATCATAGAACCACATTGCCGGCATTCATGGGAGAAAAAGGCATTGTGTAAGTTAGTGGAAATGTCGGGCAATGAAGTTGTTTTAAAACAATCACAACAATGTGAGCCAATTGGAAATAAACAGAAGCAAGATGCACCAACAAAGCAGCATCCGGAACAAATCCATCAGAAAAGATTAATTCACAGTGGTGAGGCCAACGTAGAGACTGAGACAGAGCAGCAAATGGAATTGAAAGGAGCAAAAGAACCCCCATTGTGGGATGGCAGCCATTCCAATGATATGGCAAACACTTCTCTAAAGCAGTTAAATTTAGCAGACATTTCAACTTTACGTGGGACTATTTCACGTCTAAGTCTTTTACAAAATGCATCTAAAGGACTTGCTTTGGAGGGGGTGTATCGAACTGGTCAAATAAAGGATAGGCTAAAGAAAAGAGGCAAACTCTTAAACATCCCAATGTCGTTTGATCTTGCTGGGCCAGTACATCAGCCGATGATAAATAAACAAGAGTTTTCATCATCTGAAGAGGAAAACATATTTGAGACAGCAGTGGAAATAATGGGATTCAATACCATAACGACAGAAGAAGGTTTCCTACTGGCCTTGAATGAAGAAATCAACTCGCGTCATAGCAAGGCATTACACAATGAAAAAAAGCAACAAGAAAATCTCACGGATACCTGCATTCATAGCGCCAAATACCTGTACCTGCCACTTGCCTCAGGAAGTCTTGACTTTAATCAACTCAAGCTCTCTGATGAGGCGTTGGAGGAATTACAAAGCGTTGAAAACACTTTAAAAACCGCCAAGGATTATTTTAAAACGCATGTGCTAAGAAACAGGTTAAGAAGTTTTTTTGAGAAATTTGGCTCTCATGCCCATACAGGTCCTGTCCACTTTGGTGGGATTTTTAAGTGGAAAGCATCAGCAGAGGGAATCAGCTCCGATGAGAAAAAGGAAGACAGAAATATGCTATCGGAGGCAGTGGAAAGGTATTCCACTTCTGCCTACAACATCAGTGGCAGTGCAGGTGGTGTGAGCATGATGGCATCCGAATTTACCACGGAATTTTCTGAAAAATACAATGCTCCACTTCTTAACAAGGTGACATTTTTCGTAGGTACAATAGGTGGACCACCTGGCATTTGTTCTCTTCAACAATGGAAAACCGACATTGTATCCAACACCAAGACGTGGTCTGTCATTGATCTAGGCACATCATTGGTTCCAGTGTGGGACATTGTCAAGTTTAACCACAAGGATGATTTTCAAAATACCTTGATAGCTAGCAGGCTCAAGGAGGCATACACACTTTTGACAAACCAAAATCCAAATTTTTGTCTAGAGGATATATTGGTCTCTGCTAATGCTAAAGCCAGGTCAGTGATGCAAGATATTAAACATTGGCAAGAATCCGACATGGAAAATAATTTAAAAAAGATACTTGATTTGAAACAAACGTTATATGATGAAACGAAAAGCAATTTAACTTGGATAAACACCTGTTTATCTCACCCAGCCCTCCAATCATTTTTGTCAAATCTTGTTACAGCACCTGCCAAAACGGTGAAAATCACAAAGCTTATGCAGTCTATTATGGAGCCAAACAGCTGTGACGTTGACAGTTTTCCGCAATTCGCCTCCATTATGCAGTGGTTGAATGAGTCTGAAGGAGTCCCTACTCATTTATCTGACTTTAAAGATCTCGTGAACATCTTAACAAAAGCAGAAGAACATTTAAAATTTGATTTTTCACAAACTTTTTCAGAAATTCATGAAAAAATAAACAAAGAAATCACACATGCATTTAATTCATTCTGTCAATCACTGAGAACAACAAAACTCATCGAACAAGAGCTACTCATCATTTCAGTTGCTTCTGCTGTTGGCTACTGTGTAAAAGAAAAACGATTTCAGCATCCCCTGAATAACCACAACATTGATCATCTTCAACGTGCACTAGAGTCAGCTTACGGAGAGTACTCACAACTGATGCAACAGGACAAATCCAGAGCTCAGGCATACGTGTTACGGACAGGTTTGTCTAATGCACGGACTCTTGCCCAAAAGCGAAAACAGTTCGATTTCATGAGATCCCAGGTCGAAGAAACAATGTGTGCTGAAGTTTCCCATGTGATTAAATACAATGAAATAGGGCCAACTGACTGGAATAAACTTGATATGATGCTGGAATCCATTATCGCTGGAACTTTCATAGAACAAACATGTAGTTCAAATAAAGAATGTACGATACGAAATACAGGAATAATTTCCCAGGGGGGATGGAAAGAGGACACATATTCAAGGCAAGAAGAATTACAAAATAAACCATCTATTCAACCACGAAGAAATAATGATGATGAAAAGTTCATGAATCTGCTTGAAAGACTCTCACTGATAAAATACTACCCCAAGGAATTACACACAAGTGATGTATGTGTTATCAACAGGTCTCCAATTCAAACTAACCCTGATCGATGCACAGAACAAGAACTTGCTCTTTCTTATCTGCAAAAACTGATGATGATTGACTATCGAGCAAGATGTGTTAGTTTTCAGTGTGAAAATCAAAACCAAGGCAAATTAAACAACTTATCTCAGTCCATGAATACAAATAAAAGCCCTAATAGTGATAGCTTCTTTTCTAATGATGATGATGATGACGTAATAAATAACAGTGATGGGCCTAGGACAAACACTGAAACCAACATTCACCCTATGGACTTACAAATGGCAATTTTCCATTGTGGAGACAATTTTGTAAGGCAGTACATTTACACCAAACTGTCATTCATCCAGTTTGCACTTCCGCTTTTAGTTCCAAATCCTTGTCGTTCAGAAATAGAATTCCCTATGTGGTCATTCAGACAGATTAAAAAGAGCTGGAAATACCGTGATGCATCTACCAAAAAAGTGCAATCTAAAAACTGTGCAATCATTGATGCCAACACTGCACTCGTGTCCTTCGTAAGATTTGGTGAATCACCTGCATCAAAATCTCAGATAATGAACTCTCTACTCGGCAATCAAACGCATCGAGTTTTCTTTCATAGATACTGCCGAGGCAGCAGCAGGAATGGTCAACTAATGAAAGGAGTTGCAGAGATCGCCTGGTATCTTCCAGGTGGGAAGGACGATGATGTATTTAATGACTGCATAGCATTCACTAATCTCCACGGAGATGCAAGAGAACACAAAACACAGGTGAAATTTTTACATGAGATTTCGTCTATAAATGTTATATTACTGTCAGATGGTGATCGCGATGAAGAAGGCAAACGTATCTTAGACGAATGTTTGAGTTCCCCAAAGCCGCTAATTTGCCTCTGTGCTGACAAAAGGAGAGTTTCCAGTGGAGTATCTGGAACAAACGCGAAAATTGCTGTCGAGAATCGAAATGAGGCTGAGTTAATCGATGAATTGACGTCAATAATCAAATTGTTTTTAGACAATTCAGAAAGAAAAATTAGCATCGAAGCTTTCTCAGCTATTGCAAGACAGCATAGCTTCATTGTTGATGAAGATGATAAACAATGTGAAGAGGGCAAGGGTATGGCGAAAGTTTTGCTGAGTCTTATAAGTGACAATCCACTGTGTTCCATAAAGGAGAAATTTTTGCCTCTTCAAGGGAAATTGTGGCAGTCGTGGTGCAAGAAAGACAAAGAATTGACTCGCATGATGGTAAGGGGGGGGGCAAAGTGTTGAGGAATACAAAAGTAATATTTTAGGAGAAAAAACACGCATTAGGAAAGCACAGCTTGAAAAAGCATTTCCTCTTAACGAATTTATGAGATCATTGATTGAAATTTTGAACCATAAGTCATGCACAGTAAAAACATACTTTCTGCATTGGTTACGCATATACTTAGATTATATGTTTGCAGATCGCTTATTACAACTTCATCTCATTTATCATCAGGCCTGGATGGCAATAATAGCGTTGAAAAAACAAGGTTTTAACACGAGTATCATTGCTATAAAGCAATCAGAGTTGGATAAAATATCAGAAGAACTTGATGCCTCTTCCTTTGGAATTGATCACGTTTTTAGGGAAGTTGGTCAGATCTATGAAGCTTCACAGACAATGCCATCAGTTAACAAACTCCCAGCTACTTTGCCCAAGATTGCTGCAGAAATGATGATCTCTGGATTTCCTCTTGAACTCATGGATGGTGATGCTGTACATGTCCCTCTCATTTGGATTAGCTCAATCTTGGACAGAATCATTGATGAAATTGGGAACGTGAAGCTGTTTGTTATCTCAATACTGGGAATACAGAGCAGTGGGAAGTCCACGCTACTCAATGCCATGTTTGGTCTCCAGTTTCCTGTTGGCAGTGGGAGATGCACCCGAGGGGCCTACATGCAGTTAGTGAAGGTGGAGGCAGAGTTCAGTAAACAGCTGGGATATGACTTTGTGTTGATAGTCGACACAGAAGGACTGCGTTCTGTAGAGCTGTCAAATACAACACATAGTCATGACAATGAGCTGGCGACGTTTGTGATTGGGCTGGGAAACATGACCGTGATCAACATTTTTGGAGAGAACCCTTCTGGAATGCAAGACATTCTACAAATTGCTGTGCAGGCGTTTCTGAAAATGAGGCAGGTGAAGTTATCACCGAGCTGTGTGTTTGTCCACCAAAACGTAGGAGAAGTGAATGCACACCATAAGAACATGGAGGGAAGGAGACGCTTTCAGGAGAAACTCGATGAGATGACCCGCATAGCTGCAGAGCAGGAGCAGTGCGCTGTTGCATCATTTGACGCAGTGATCAGGTTTGACGTGAACTTTCAGATCCGTTACTTTGCTCATCTTTGGGAGGGAGACCCTCCGATGGCTCCGCCAAATCCAAGCTACTGCCAAAATGTTAAAGACCTTAAAGAAATGTTACTTAGAAATGCGACAAACGAAAAAACAATCAACGTCTTGAAAATATCAGAATTCAAAGCACGCATTAAGAATCTATGGACGGCTTTGCTCGCAAAAAACTTCGTTTCTAGCTTTAAGAACACAATAGAGATCGCAGCTTATACCAAACTGGAAGAAATGTATGGAAAATGGACTTGGGAACTCAGGAGTCATGTTCTTCAGCAGGAAAACAAACTCTATAACAGCATTGATAACAATACAGATACAATGACACGATTACAGATTGAACGAAGAATTTTGTCAAACTATCAGGATATTAAAAAGAAAATGGAAGAACATTTCAATAGCGCAGATGATGCAGAATTCTTGGTTCAATGGAAAGTTAAATTCGAAAAAGGATTTGAAACAGTGAAAGAAGAGATATTGTCTGATGCTTACAAAAACTACTCTGCCCTGATGGCTCTAAAAAACAAAAAAAGAAATCTCGATCTTCAGAGATCAAGTTACGAAGATCAACTTATTAGAAAGAGCAAGGATTTGGCTTCAAAATTGAGAGAAAAAAATGTTAATGAAGCAGAATGGGACAGGGCTTTTCATGAAATCTGGAAGGATTGGATTAAAGTTATAAAAGACGGTATGACCAGCCCTGCAACGCTTGATGTAAAAAAAGAAATTGAAAACCTTATTTACAAAGTTCATGCGAATCAAATTCAACACCTAGAAACAGTGATATGGAACTATCACACAGGGACAGAATTTGACATTAAACAAAACGAACACATGATGAACCCGAAATGGCTTGGATATCTGAGTCACCATTTCAAAGATAAGAATACTAAGTCAATTAAAGAACTAATTATTGAGATAAAATTAAATGTCAATAGATGCATTGCCACCCAAGAGAAACATAAAACTAATTTCAACCCATCCTACATATATGAAATTTTAGAGGTAATGAATTCAGACATACAGAAATTTTCACAATCCAATGAAAAATGTAAGCTCACAGATAAGTTCAAAATTGATTTATCTGTCCACATATTGGCAGAGGTTACGGGGCGATTTCAGAAAATGCATGAGAATTTCCAGAGGGAAAACGATCCATTAGTATACTTCACCAATAAGAAAGAAAAATACTTCGACAGCTTCAAAATCCGCTGCCAAGGCGCAACGTCCACAACTATTTTTGTGGATTTTTTGTGTAACAAACTGAAAACATCCATTCAACAGGCAGTTTATGATAACGTTTGTGTTAACATTGCAGGCAGGATGAAGTCCACATTCCTGGCATTCAACGGAAATCGATCAAAATTAGAAAACTACATTCTCATAGATTTAGCGAAGAAGAAAGATTTTAAAGCATTTGATGAATATATTCACCATCCAAAAAAACACTTTCAGAAATACATTACGGAACGTGTAGAAGAGTATTGCAAGGGAAGCGATAATGAAATAATCCATGAGATGTTAAAGTCAAGTCTTGAGGATTACACAGCTGCAATTACTCATGCAATTAATAAAGCAACTGAAATGGTACAAAACAACGAGTATGATGCATCTTCATGGCTGGATACATTTTGCACACAGCTTGATGACGTCATCAAGCTCCCAAGACACACTTTGGACCAAGGCGACTGCAGCGAAATAACGGATATTGGATTTCTTAAAGAAGAATTAACAAAAGGACTAAAAACCGTGGTTGAAGGATTAAAAGATACATTTTCTTCAACATGCTTAAATGATTTGAAACACGTTCATAACAAACCTTATGAAATACTATTTCGGCAGCTATGTGGGTGCTGGGTGCAGTGCCCGTTGTGTAAAGCCATCTGCACAAACACGATGTCCAATCATGACGGAGACCACAGTGTTTTCCTTCACCGCCCCAGGGCAGTGAGTGGAGGAAAGTGGCATGAAACTGATCACTTTGACACTGACATCTGCACTAGTCTAGTTGCCAGTAACTGCAGCTTAGTGTTTCCAGACAGAAACATACCATGGAAGGATTATCGTACAGCCGGGCCAGAATATGCTTGTTGGAGCATAACACCAGACTTAACCACACAGTCATATTGGAAATGGTTTGTTTGCAAGTTCAAGTCAGACTTAGAAAAGCGCTATAACCTAAAATTTGCGGCGCTGGGAAAAATCCCATCAAATTGGGAATGTATTAAAGAACATGATGTTATTGAGGATTTAGAGAAACTGTAGGTTACGTAGTTAGAAAAAATCATAGATCACGACGTTTCGATCGCAACGCAAGCAATCGTCATTAGGCGGAGGAAAGATGATGACGATTGCTTGCGTTGCGATCAAAACGTCGTGATCTATTATTTTTTCTACCTACGTGACTTTACCAAAAGAACCAAAGAGTATGGATTCCTGCTGTCACGAAAGCTTCAAATCAATAATAAACTGTAGGTTGATCAATAAAACTAAAAGTTAGCATCCTATGTTACAGATTAACTTATGAATACGTGGCTCTGTTTCAAAGTCTTCAGATTTAAATTTTTTATGGTATTAATAATAACAACGAACACAATTCATCATGAAACAGCAACATCTCTAAAATGGCATGGCATTTAACGATCGTTACATGCATGCATATGTACATATATTTAACTTGAGACATTGTAGATGTTATAGTTAATATTTTCGCGCAAAATAAATATATGCATCTTTTTAAGTAATCCATAAATAAATATCTACTGTACAATCATTTCCATTGTGTTTATTCCTCTATACCCTTGTTTGTTTAAACGTGCATTTTGTTTGTGATGCACTTCAAATGTAAATACAAAATTAAGAATAGAAATGTCAATTAAAGTGGTAAATTACACATCAGCTAACTACGTGCTTAATATTAAATTGTGTTTCTACTTTAACATTTGTAATTGAAATCTAAAATCAATATTGCATGTTTTAATGGTAAGTTTGTGCTTCAAGTTTGCAGAAATACTCACCAGCCTTGCGCTTTCTCCTTCGTGTTGGTGTCGGACGCCTATTTCATGAGGCAGAGCCTTCTCCCCTGGGTACTCTCTTCTAGAGCTTTAGTCAGCTGCACATCCCCTCTAATCAATGCCCAAGACTGGTATTTTGCCTCTCACGATCGTTCCTTTCAGACTTTTATGTTAATCCAAAATTGCTTCAGCATGAGCATAATAATATATTTCCATGGGATAGCATATGGCCATTTGAAGTCAAATGCAAAGCTGAAAAGTTCCAATATTATCAAGTATTCTGTTCTCAGCATGGATATCTGCCAAATATAACATTTAAGTAAATGTTGAAACATCTTTACCAGTAACTTCATCTTTGCTGCTTATTTCCCTTTTCAGCAGCAATTCTGTCTTGCTGAATGCCATTTTTTCCATTAAAATAATGATATCACCATAACGCACAATTACTTCGTTTGCTCTCCAATTATACGTTCAGACCCACCACTAATACATATCTGAGTAAATACAACACAATTTCAGCAAACCTCAAGGTACTGTAAATCTATAATGGCAACAAATGCTTCCAATGACTGGAAAGGCACCACATGGGACACACAAATTAGATGGGTTTACAAGGCTCATTTAATTTACTAAATTAAAGAACATTGTACTGTCAGAACTGCAAATGTAAACAACAGAAACAGAAGAAAGCTCTTGAGACTGTTAGGAAACTAATCAAATAGAACCAGTCAAGAAAATCAGCAACATAAGAAATGTTTAGCAACTTCTTTGCAAATAGTAACACAAATTTATGCGATCTAACCCAAAAAACCTCTATTATGGAAGATATTTGTCGCGAAAGCATACGTGTTAAACTGAGTAACACAAACAGGCAGCCAATATGACTCCCTACAATATCAATGTTGCTGAAATGATGTGCTTCCAAAATGTCGTGTCGCTGATGGGATGTGAAAAAACATTTGTTGAATGGTCATGTTGAGGTTCAGATATTGGAGAGATGTGTATTGTGACCCTATTGATTTTAAAACGTTT